TAAATAATAGGGATATATATACATACATATATGTATATATAAATATATATACATATATATATATATATGCCACACATATAATGTCAAAGTTTCTAGCAGCTATATTTAAAAAGTAAAAAGAAACATGAATATTTTATAACATTATTGAAATATAATTATACAATAAATTCACCATTTTAAAGACTTCATTCAGTGACTTTTTAGTATATTCACAGAATTGTGTGATGATCACCACTATCTAATTTTAGAAATAGTTCCATCACTTAAGGAAAAAAAAAGATGAGGCAGGAGGATCACCATGAGTTCAAGACCAGCTAGGCAACATGATGAGTTCAAGGCTAACCAAAGCTACATAGGAGACCCTATCTCAACAAACAAACAAAAACAAAACAAAACAAAACCCACAAAATACACCCTAGCCAGCTGTGGAGACACACACCTGTAATCCCAGCACTTAGGAGGCTGAGGCAGGAAGGCCTATACAGTGAATTCAGGACCAGCCTAAACTACATAGTGAGATCCTTTCTAAAACAAACAAACAAACAAACAAAGACGCCACACCCATCACCAGTCACTGTCGGTTCCTCACTCCCCTCCATCACCTGCCATCTGAAAATGTATTTTTTTGTCTCTGTAAGATTTGCTTATATTGAGGATTTATATATAAAAATATGCAGGCTTTTTGTGTCTTGCTTCTTTTATTCGGCATAATATTTTCAAGTTTCGTACATATAATATTTATTAGTGCTTCATTTTTCCCGTGGCTAATAGCATTCCATTACATGGGTTTATCACACTTTATTCCTTCACTCATCAGCCAATGAACATCTCTGTTGTTCCCACTTTTTGGCTGTTATGAATCACACTGGTAAGAACATTTGTGTAGAAGTTTTCCTGCTTATGTTTCAATTCTCTCAAGTATATACCTAGGCATGAAATTGCAGGGTCGTAGGGTAATCCCATTTTTAATATTTTTAGGAATGTCAAACTGGTTTTAAAATGGATGTACCATTTTACAATCTTGCCAATAGTGTCTGAGAGTTCAAACTTTTCCACATCCTAGTTAACACGTGTCATTTTTATTTTTATTTTAGTCAGTGGAGGAGTTATGAAGTGGTATCTCATTATTGCTTTGATTTATATTCCACTAGTGACTAATGATGTTGATAATGCTTTCATGTGCTTATTGGCCTTTGTGTATCTTCATTGGATATATGTTTATTCAAATCCCATCACCACTTCCTTTTTTTTTCCAGTGCTAGAAACCAAACCCGGGGCCTCGCACATGCTATGCAAATGCTCTAACACTAAGTTACATCCTCGGCCCATTTCACCTTTTTTAATTGACTTGTCTTTCTATTATTGAGTTAAGAGAGTTTTTAAAAATATATTCTCCTAGTATTAGAGGTCTCATTTGACCCAGCTATTCCCCTGCAGTGTATCTTCCCAAGGGAATTTAAAGAATCATAGCATAGTAATATATGTGCACCCATGTTTATAGCAGCACAGTTTGTAATAGCTAAATCTTGGAAACAGCCCATCAACTGAAGATTGGATAAAGAAGATGTGGGTTTTTGAGTAAAGAATCAGCATAGTAATATAAGTGCACCCATGTGTATAGCAGCACAGTGTGTAATAGCTAAATCTTGGAAACAGCCCATCAACTGAAGATTGGATAAAGAAGATGTGGGTTTTTGTTTTTGTTTTGTTTTGAATAAAATGGAGTACTACTCATCCAAAAGAATGAGAAACTAGAGATATTTATAGCTAAATGATTGCATATTGAGGCCATACTCTTAAGTGGAATGAACAGGACACACGTGTGTAAATACCGAATAGTTTCTCTGGTTTGAGAAACTGAAAGTGTTAAGTGAGGATCAAAATGTATAACAGATAGGGCCGGGGATTTAGCTCAGTGGTTCCGCTGCCTGCCTTGCAAGCACGAGGTCCTGAGTTTGACCCCTGGTACCAAAAAAAAAAAGTATAATAGAGAATGTAAAACTGGGAAAAAAAAGGCCCAAAGGGAAGGGGAAGTGGGAGATAGGGGAAAGGAAAGAAGGGAAAGGAATAAACACGGGAAAAGGAAATAACAGAAACAAAGTCTTTGTAAATAGGGAGGGGTAGAGGGGTTGAAGGGAGGATAGGAGAATGGAGAAAAAAATAAGAACCAAGATGTATCATGTAAAGGTATAAATTCCCAATGATGAATGTCATCATATGGTATACCTAAAATGTACTATAAACTTAATGAATAAATATATATATATATAATAGATATAAATCTCCTATTTGGTATATGATTTGGAAATATCTTTTCCCATTCCGTGAGCTGCCATTTCACATTTTTTGTTTCCTTATGCTACAGAGAATTGAACCCAGGGCCTTTCCACTGAACTACATTTCCAGTCTCTTTTTATTTTTTGAGACAAGATCTCACTAAGTTGCTAAATTGCCTAGGTTGGGCTCAAACTGCACCAAAATTTAGCTAAATTGCCCAGGCTGTGATCCTCCTGACTCAGCCTCCCAGAGAGTATTACCAGACCCAGCTCCCCAGGATATGTCTTTTAAGTCCACTTTTTAAAAAATCCACTATTTTATACTTAAAGAACATCTCAAAACAGGCCCTAAGTTTTCTTTTTTGCCCCCCAACCCTAAGTTTTCATCAGTTATTTAATCTGTGTTTAGACTTCAGGAAATTTATAGTTGAGAAGTGAATACAAGTTGCTCCAAATACACTGAAATTTTTTCAGTAACTGAATTAAGTGTCAGTTTTTACATATAAATTAATTAAAATTAATAAAACCGAAAATCACTACCTTAGTCACATTAGCCACATTTCAAGTATGCAATTACCACACGTGGCTGGCGACTGCTGAGTCGGACAGCACAGTACTGAGTGCTTCCTCCGAATTCTAACCCATGCGACATTTGTTAGCAGTGTTACCTTTCCCACTTCACAGCTGATGAGCTCAAGGGACTTTCTCCAAGATCACAACCAGACACGAGTTAACTGAGACCGGTTCTGCTCTCGGCTTGGAAATGGACCTCAGCAAACGCTGCAAGGTTACAGAACCTGCCCCAAATCTGGTCCTAGACTCAGAAATACAGAGCAGACTCCTGCACTTTCCCTCATTCCCATCCCGTGAGGGGCTTGTCCAGAAAGCTTGGAATTAGTTCTAGCGAGCAGAAGACTGAGATTAATTCCCATCCCGCCCCAACCTTACGGTTTGATGCCCATCCACAAAGACGCTCAGAAGGAGCAACCTGCACCCCTACTGGAGCTGCACCTATTCCCCTGTCCTGCAAGGAGCCCTTTCTGCAGCAAGCTGTGCAGAAATGTTCTTCCGCTGGCCCCATGGATTAGAAAAATCACAGAAAGGACTCGCATGTATCAAGTATTTCTGGCCAGCCAACCACTGCACACAGGGCTCTACGTAGAGGACATGCCTAAGAGACTTCTGGGAGACAAAAGAAAATGCAATGCATTCATGTAATGAGTATCACTCAGCCCTTCGAAAGACTGAGGAAAGATGTCTACAGTGCACTGTTAACTGAAAGAAGCAAGTTTAATAATAAGATGCAGCCTACGTTTCCCTGTGTGTGTCTGTGTGTCTGGTAGCAGGCTGCTCATAGAGAAGACGTCTCTTCATGGAGACAGTGTGGGAAAAAACCCTCCCTCTGTGCATACTTTGGTATTGCCCAGATCTGTCACCACAAATATGTCTTCCTTTTGAATTTTTCTAAAACTAATCTTTAAAAAAAGCCATCCAGGCCGGGCATTTAGTTCAGTGGCACAGCGTCTGCCCAGCAAGGGCAAGTCTCTGAGCTCAATTCCCAGTACAAAAAAACACAAACAAAACTAAGATATTTTTAAAGAAGAAAGGTCCTTGTATCCTTTAATCCTCCAAAAGTACTTAAAGAAGTTCAATTATCTCCATGTTAGAGATGGAAGAACCAAGGCTCAGAGAGGCAGCATGATTGGCCAGCTCTAGACTCCAGGACAAGGCAGAGACAGGACAGAAGGCAGGGTTGCTCACAGAGGTTGTAACAGTGAAGTGCACCAGAGGCTCAGGAACTGGGGAGCCCACATTCCATACGCCAAGGGCAGAACCCACCTTGAGGTCCAGGTGCAGGACATAGTGCTGGTGGAGGTAATGCACCCCCTCACAGATCTGCCTGGTAAACAAGACCACATCCAGCTCGGTCAGGTGGTTCTTTTCATCTGTGATCCGGTCAAAGAGTTCACCCCCGTCCACACTGCCGGAGCAAAGGAGAGGCAAGCACTAGGCTGAGCAGCCCTCTGAGGACTTGCCCACTGTTTTCTCCAAGAAGACTGCCTAGGTGAAATCAAGGTTGGTTACACCAGCAGTCACAGGGCCGGTACCATGACCAGCGGGGGTTGTGTCAGGACTTCCGTTCAGGCCATTCCAGCAAAGAGTGCACAGGGTAAAAAGGACATGATTGGGCCAAAGAAAAGGCAGGATGGCCTCACTCTGGATAATCTGGGCCAGGGCTGCAAACTTATTTGCTGATGGAGGCAATGAATACTTACAGGAGAAGAAGCCTAAGTCAAAAACTTAGATTAGATGTGAGACAAAAATTTTCTGAAAACACACCTTCATCTATCTTTTGCTTTTCCACTTTTGACAGATACACAGCATGACAAATGTTTCCTTGCCAGGAGAAAAAAATCAATATAAGCACGAATATAATTGGTCTCTAAGCCACGGCCTTGGGCCAGGGGGTGACACTGGAGGCAGTGGTAGGGACTGTGGTTAATGGGAACTAGTAGCCCTGTCCACAGAGGGCAGCCACTGTGAGCGCCACCCAGCACCACTTATGGCCAGAACACCAGTCCAACGTTACTGTCCAATTACCCAATTTCTACTGTCCAACTTTTCCAATTTCCAAATATTAACAACTAAAATTCTCTAATTACTAAATTTCTAAAATATTTTTAAGTCAATGTGACATAATATCTGCAGGCCAAAGCAAGCTCAATGGCTGCTAGTTTGTGACAATATGGCTTTGTCCTCTGTGCTTCACACTAGAGTTCAAGCAGCCACACCCAGGAAGAGGGGTTGGGATGGCACAACCCTGGGTCCCCCAGTGAAAGGAGAGGAGAGGAGAGGAAAGACAGCTCTGCCGACAGTGAAGGCCCTGCCCAAGGAGAAGCCACTGCCCCATCCCTAAGACACTCACTACTCCATGATGAGGGTGAAGCTGTTCTTGCTCTCAAAGGCATCGTACAGCTGGATCAGGTTCACATGGCTGAGCTGGTTCATGATGTTGATCTCATTCTTCACATCCTCCTTGTGGAAAGAGAAAAGAGGGGGTTTCCAAGCAAACGGGTCAAGAAGATGAGCCAGGCTGACCTCCCAAGACAGATGGACAGGCACACAACCCTTCTTTGATGCCCCGCTGTCACACCAGGTCTCCTTGACTCCCTACCCAACCACATCCTTGCAACAGAGAAAGGACCTTACTTAAACCCACCCGAATCCCAACAAGAAACTTGCAGCCCAAGAAGAAAAGGGCTTTGTTGCCCACAGGGCCACAGGCACAGTCATGCCAGACAGCCACATGTGTAGCTGTGAGGTAACTTTCTGAATGGGGTCTAGGAGTTGTGGAAAAGAGGCGGGAAAAGCACTGGGTTCCCTATTCAGCAGGGAGGGGCAATGCAGGCCTGGGAGCCTACAAAGGAAGCGAAGGAGACTTGAGCTTGGCTAGAAGGACCTGACTGGCCCAGAGCATACGCCTTACCCTGTCTTTGGCACTCTTCACTTTGATGACCTTGGCAGCCAGTGGGAGGCCCGTGGACTTCTCTGTGCACTTGTGGACCTGGCCAAACCGGCCCCTACCGAGACACATGGGCACAGAGGGCTGAGAGCACAAGAAGTGTACCACAGGCATGTTAAGTCCCCTGTCCCTGGGCTTCCTGGTCCTACTCCCTTCACACACACTATGTAGACAGCCTACATGCCAGGGCATGCCCTAGTCACTGCCCCTGTACCACACAGGCTATGCTGAACCCTGGAAAATAACTCCTTCAACGTGTGGTTTTACCCTGAATCCAAAGGGTCATCCTCCTGACCCTCACCTCCTGCATCTCAGGGACTATCCCCTGACCTCACGCCACACCACAGGGTCCCTTCTGTCCTGCAGAGCATCCTCCTCACTGTGCCCATGTCAGCTCTGCTGTCACCTCTCCTGCTCCCCTACTCCCATACCAGAGAGCTATCCTGCACTTGAGGGCTCCTCCTCACCCCACTCTCTGTGGGCCGTCCCTTACTCTCCCACTGGGCAGGACTGGGTTTGAGTTCTGAGAACCATCCCACGAGGCCCCAGCTCTTGTTCCCACCCCCGCTCCCCACCAGGCAGAAGCCCACCTACCCTCCCAAGACCTCGTGCTGGCACACTGTGTAACCTGCCGAGATTGCTGTCTCCTTGACATTCACCACCCGGTGTCCAAAGGGGGCTGCGGGGGCTGGACTGTCATCTGTGTAGGAGAAGAGGGGCTTGTGAATCCCCAAAGTGCAACCGCCTTTCCCTACCCGGAGGTGTGTTACAGCTCACTCGGTTTCCCAGCCCTGGTATTTGAAAGCCCCTACTCAACAATTATCTGAGTGAGCCACGCATTTGGTGGAGATGGAATCTGAGTTTCAATCTGGGATTCAAACCCAGGTCTCCTGGCCACTAGGATAGTGCTCTTTACAGGATACAAAGTTATATACCATCTGCTCATCCTGGGTGGATCAGTGCAGACCGGAGGAAAGAGCACACACCAGAACAGGGTCGTGAGCACAGACTAGTGAAGGGACTTTCGTCAGTAGGCAAGCATTCCACCAGCCAGTGAGCTACCTCACCAGCTTCTTCTATTTTGTCTTACTTTTGAGACAGGGTCTCAATACATTGTTTGGGCTGGCTTTCATGTTGCAATGCTCTCTGAAAGTCCTCCTGATTAGCTGGGGTCACAGAAGTGCACTACTGCACCCACCTGAGAAGAACCAGCAAAGGTGGGACAAGAGGGAGGCGGCTAGAGAAATCAACATCCACCTTCTCTCTCCTTCCACAACTGGTTTCCTTACAGCTCTTCCCCACCAGACGCTAGAGGGCAAGAGAGCCATGAGGCAGCCCACGGAGGACAGAGCTGGGGCACAGGACAGGGGAGAGGAAGGAACAGTGGTCTGCAGAGGGAGGAGAAGACAGCTTGTACTCAGAAAGGTAAACATAGTTTAGAAAAGATCTCATCCTTCAGAGATGACAGAAACGCCTACAAATATCATATGAAGTAAAGGAAGAGAGTCTAGAACATGTACCGAGCACAATGACACGAAGCAGTTTGCACATGAAGTCCTGAGAGATGCGGCAGCAGGATGTCGGTGTCGCCGGCTCTGGGTAGGGAACTGGCTCTTCTGTAAGGAGTTCTCAGCAGTGACCCAGAGCCAGAGGGGCTGAGAGCCTTTGGGTCCCAAGAGCACAAGGATGCCTCCCAGGCCCCCACTGAGTCAGCAGTGGGCCAGCGCCTCACCGCCCTCTGCCCATCCTGGTGGGAATGGCTGAGCGTGGTCATACACACCAGTTAGGTGTCTTTGCTTTTTAACAGGGTCTTTCTCTCTCTCCGTGAAAAATGATACCGATATTTGAGTTAAATAGGTAGGCATGTAGCTTGAAGAAATCCACATAGTTGGACCGTACGGGTCCCCTCCCACCCACCCCCAGCCTATCTGATTTCGGCCCTTTGTATTCCTACATCTCCGTCTGCAGCCCCAGAAGTATTGGCATGCTGTTTCCATCAACCAGACTCCCCCAGCTCCGCACCTCTTAACCCTGGAAGCAGCAGGAAAGCCCACGGAGGTACAGCCTATCTCAGGGTTTGTTTCGGGTGTGAAGCCAAGGAACGGCCTCGCTTACCCAGAACCGTGCTGCCAGCCTCAGCAGCAGAGGGTGACCTCCCTCCTGCGTCAGCTCCTCTGGAGCTTCCAGCTGCAAAGTCTTTCCCAGGATCCGGGTGCCCTGCTCCTGGGCCTTTTCCTTGCTGTATCCCCAGGGCTTCAGCAGCAGTATCTCCTTCGTCCCTTCTGGCCGTGCTTAGTCCTGTGATGGGCTCAGCCCCACAACGCCGCTCCTCTTCATCTGCTGGGTGGCTGCTCCTCCTCGGCAATAGGGAAGTCTGCGCTCCTGACCCAGTCCCAGTGGCTTGGGAGCAGCGCCCGGGCCCAGGAAGGTCCTGCTCACCTGGGTGGGCAGCTGTGGGAGCCTCTGCAGGGAGAGTGGGTGTAAGGCTGCCCCCTCGTGTCACAAGCAACTCCCCAGGAGTATCCACTTGGTGCACATGAATGGAGACCCTAGGGCGGAGAGAAACAGGGCCTGAGAGGGCCAGGGATTTAGCTCAGTGTTGCTGCGCTTCCCTGGCAAACGCAAGGTCCCAAGTTCCATTCCTGGATTCAAGAACAAAACAAAACAAAAAACCCTAGAAACAGGGCCTGAGGATTAAAAGCAAGAACTGCAATGAGAAGAGACCCGGGTTCAAAGGCTATTGCTGTCAATCACTGACAGTGGCTCCTTGGCCCAGTTCTCCATGTGTACTTTAAGGCTGTACCAGGGTTGTAATAATAAGAGTCATCTTGTGGCTGGAACCAACAGACTCCAACTCCTGTCCCTCTGCGTCCTGGACCACTCTGCTCAGAGAGGACAGAGGGGAGGGGCCGGCTCAGGGAACAGATGGTGACACCGGCTGCAGGTACTCCGTGAGGGGAAGGTCCGGGAAGGCTGGAGATAGATAACCTAGAGTGGACAAGGGTGAAGACCAGGCATCCCTGAGGCTTCTGTCCCAGGAGGATCGTGGCCTGAAGGTGGGAGGCCGGAAGGTTTTTCACCCTCCTCTGGGACTCAGTTTCCCTTCCTGTTAAATGAAGAGAAGGAGGAACCCAGTGTAACACCGCACTGAAAGCCCAGGTCTGACACATTTGATTAAAATCAAGCACAGCAGCCCTGGCTGTGCTGAGCCTCCGTGCCTGTGGAGCAGAAGAGCAGACCTGGCGCCCTGGCCCTGCCTCCCGGTCCACTCCATTGCTTTTCACTACCCAGACGCGGTGACACTAAGACACGACGCTCAGAGGAGGGACCCTGACTCGGCAGCCACGTGTGCAGGTGTCAGGCCTCCCTCTCAGAGCTGTTCTCCAGCCGGCTGCTTCTTGGGGGGCTTCTTCCTGCTGGATCAAAACCCAACCCACTGCCCTATTCTATGTGTATGGGGGTGAGGGGAAGTCAGGCAGCCTGACTCTGGTCTGCACTCTGCTGGGCAATGTGGACAAGTTCTGCTGTGGGTGAATGATAAACAAAGGGGTCAATCGATAAACAAAGTACACCGTGCGCATACAGTGGAATGTTTAGCCTTAAAAGGGAAAAGAAATTTAGACAAATTGTACAACATGAATGAACCCCGAAGACAACATACTACGTGCAATTAACAAGCACAGGAAGATGAACACTGTGATTCCACTGAGAAGAGGCAACTAGAGAAATTAAACTTACAAAGACAGAAAGCAGAATGATGCTTACCAGGGGCTGGTGGAACAGAAATGGGAAATGGAGAGTTATTGTTTAATGGGTGCAGAGTTTAAGTTTGTAAGATGAAAATTATCTGTAGATCTGTTCCTCAACAGTGTGAACACACATAACGCTACTGAACCATACATTTAAAAGTGACTAAGACAGGCTGGGGTGTAGCCCAGTGGTAGAGCACTTGCCTAGCATGTGGGAAGCCCTGGGTTCTCTCCTTAGCTGCTCCTCCAAAAAAAGCTAAGATGGTAAATTCTGTTATGTGTTTTTTATTACAATGAAAAAATAAAAGAATAATGAGGCTTTTCTTCAGCTCTCTGAGGTGCTGGACCTCTGAGGGAAGCCTCTGACCCTAGGTGGACACTGAAGGATCGGCAGCCTCTCCAAAGCCAAGCATTGGGCAGGGGGCAGTAATTCTTCCAAAACCACCCTGAGAGACTAAGGAAGGGTTGATAGGAAGCGTGGTATCCGAGCCAAGGCCCCCCAAACCTAGCTTGGGCCTCTTTCTAAGACTGAGGGACACAGAAAACTGGCAAGGTAGTTGCTCTCCAGAAGAATATCCTGTGGTCAGCTGAGAAGGCCAGCACCAATGTTCCCCTCTCTGGTCTTCCCCTGCATGGGACATGCAATGACCCCAAAGCCACTGCCACACAGTTCCATGCTGCTATGGCTTGTATCTAGATGCACCCCCACCACACCAGAAGTCTCATGCAGTCAGAGGTAGGGCTTTTCAGAAGTGGCTGGATCCAGTGTGTGATGCTGCATTTAAACCTGTGATGCTGGCATCAAGGGTGTGTGGTTACTAAATTGGCCCACTGATTAACTTGGCACAGTTCTGCAAAAGGCTTTCCCTGAAAGTGAGTGCTACCTGCCCTAAGGGCACGAATCCTGGATAGACTGTAAGGGACAGAAAGAGGCTGCTGCCGTCAATTGCTGCTTGCTGCTTGCTGCTTCACAGCTGGCCACCTTCTACCTGCCCTGCTTCGCCATTAACTGTTTCTCCCCTGTGAAGTTGTTGCCCCTCTACAATGCCATTCTGCTTTGGAGCCGGCCAACTATGGACTGAAACTTCTACAAACCTTTTTATTTTTAACTTTGGGTGTCAAGTATTTTGCCTCAGCAACAAGAGAAGGTAACTGAAACACACGCCACTTTTAGTGTCCAAAGCTTTCTTGCTGTTGCACTACTCCACAGTAAGTTTTCTTACTACTCTAGTTACCTCATTTCAATGGAATCGTATAGTGTTTATCTTCTTGTAAATGGTTTGTTTCATTTAGTATGTTGTCCTCAGGGTTGACTCATGCTGTGCTATTTGTCAGAATTCCTTTCCCTTGTAAGGCTGAATGATATTCCATCACATGTGTATCCAAAGGTTCTTGCTAGAACGTACCCGTGGCGGGCCCTGCCAATCAATCAGAACACTCAGGGTCACCAAGTTCAGATATGGCCTCAGCACACTCCACATAGAAAGGCCCTACCAATCACAGTTGACCCTTAACTTAAATATACTTTCCTGAAAATATATTCACACACTAAGGAAAGGAGGGCAGTAAGTAACCTCTTTATTTCTTTACACATGCTGCAGTCTACTGTGCCTGGAATTCAGGTCATGGGCTGACTGACACAGAGATCTTCTCTTCTCACTCAGAATCATTTTGGGCCCCCTAACAAGTTCACCCCCAGCCCAGATTCCAAATTTAGGGCCCTGGCCCAGGCCCAGGGATGCCTGCCAGGAATCCACCCCTCAGGCTCCCTTCCAGAACAAAGGCTGACAAACAATCTGGACTGCTCTGCCAATCACCATAGCAAACACAGAAACCAGATCTCCTCCCTGAGCCAGGCTCTGGGGTCTCAAAGTGTAGAGTAGCCCAGGGCAAACACAGGGGCACCAAGCTCCTCTGAGAAAAACCAGGAAAGCCTAGTACTCTACAGTGAGCTCTGGCACCAGGATGTGCTGCCCCACAGAGGCAGAAGGAAAGGAGGGCTTGAGAGTCAACAGGTTTCCGATCATTCTGATCCTCAGCTGCCACAATTCCACCTCCAGAACATCCAGTGTAATCCTCCTGAAAGCACCACCCTAGGACTGGCCCTCTTATTTAGGATTAATTAAAAGCTGGCCTGAGGAACCAGTGTGGTAATTAGGGGCACTGATCCTGGAGACCAGTAACTGGACTCGGATCCTAATCGGAATCCCTTGGCAGCCACAGCACTCTGAGCCTGTTTCCCCTTCAGTAAAATGGGGATCAACAACCACCCCTGCTTGCTGAGCGTATCATGGGAACAAAGGGACGCCTGCAAAATGTGCAGCGACTGCCTGCTCAGGGAAAGCGCTCTATAAACCCCATTTTTAACTGTTATTATTGATTTTAAGACCTGATGATTCTTAACCCTGCTCCCTGTTAGTCACCTGGAGAGTGTTTTTTAAAATATGTTTAAAGCAGGACTGGGGGTGTAGCTCAGTACTTGCCCAGCATGCATGAGACCATGAGCTCGACCCCCAACATTGCTTAACAAAACAAAGCAAGAAAAAACAAACAGGCAGACAGAAAACAACAAAACAATGCCCAAGACTCACTCCAGAATAACTGAATCAGAATCTGTGGGCATCAGTGCTTCTTAAATCTCCCTAGGTAATTCTAGTGGGCAGCAGGTACAAACCAGTCCTCTAGGCTCCCAAACGTGGGGTCTTCTCTCCAGGAGGCTGGACTAGCCCTCTGCATGTGGCAGTCACTCAACATATGTCTCTGGCCCACTGGCCATGCTGCACCTGAGGCCGGACATTAATCTTTTCCCTTCCCCGGAAAGAAGTGGTCCCCTTACCTTCGAGGTACTTCTCCACCACTGCGAGCCGTCCCGGTCAGGGCTGGGGGCCCCAGGGGCCCTGCAGACAGAGGGATGGGCCCTGACATTAGCCTCATGCCCTCCTCCGAAAGCCGAGTGTCAGGCCTGCTGGATGATGCTCCTTGTCTTGCACCTGATGCCACCTCCTGGCTAGCGGGAGCCTCGCCAACCCTGTCAGGTACTACAGATGATTCCAGGCCATTCCGGGGGTTCTCACTGGATGTTTCCAGAGCTTTGGCACAGGCCTCTGCGGGCAGCAGCAGGTCACCAGGGGACACCTGTCCTGGGCAAGGAACTCCATCTTCCTGCCCTGATGAGATCCTCGCCTGGGAGAGAAGGGCAGCTCCCGTCCCTGACGCTGTGATGGGGGGCAGCCTCTCCACCGTCCCGGCTGGCAGATTCACCTTTTGGCTCTCTATAGGAGAACAGGTAAGGTAAAAACAATTCACTCTTGGAAGAGTCTAGGACAAAGATCTTGCAAAATAAGTGCATTTATTGCCCCACTTTCATAGTGGTCAAAGGCGGAAAACACCTCAAACGACCGTCAGGGAGTTGTCGGAAAGGGGGAGCACCCACCCAACGGGATGTTGCACAGCCATAAAAAATGAGAAATTACTCTCATTACAGGCAGCTGTGGAATGATCGCAGCATATAATGGCAGTGAGAAAAGCAGAGGGGAGAACTGGGGTGCAGAACCTGTTAGGAGCTGTTTACGTAAGAAGGGAGAACGTGTGTGTCTGTGTGTGTGTGTGTGTGTGTGTGTGTGTGTGTGTGTGTGTGTGCGCGCGCGCATGCGCACGCGCGTGCATATAACCGCGTACAATGTGCTCTGAATAGACTGGAGCTCCATGGGAAGACAAAGCTTTTCAGATGGGGAAGAAGATGGTACAGGAAACCAGGGTGGATGCTAGATTTCTTCTAACGTACCTTGCTTTGTCAATGTGACTTTGGAACTGTCAGGCTCGATCTGGCCACGGCCTGTTTCATGAATATGTTGTTAAATTCTAAACTTTGATTTCAATGGGACGTGATCAAGAAATAGCACACTGGTTTTATCTATAGAATTATTTTAGACAGTGTATAATCAGCAACGAGACATTTTCTCTCATCTTACAGAGCTCCATATTCTTGTCTTCAATCATTTCATTAAAAAAAAAAGCTTTCTGCCCCCATCCTCTTCTGTTTACTATGTATGCAAGGTATACTTGTGTGTTGTTTTGTCAAAAAAAAAAAAAAAACAACAAAACCTAGGGTACTACTATTTTCTAAGCCATGATGTGAAGTCAACAATCTTATGGCCACATAGCACAAAGCAAATTCAGATCTCATGGCTAATTTTATTTATTTTTTTTTTTTTTGGTTTTTTTGAGACAGGGTCTCACTACGTAGTTGAGACTGACCTGGAACTCACTATGTAGCTCAGGCTGACCTCAACTCACAGTGATCCTCCTGCCTCAGCCTCCCGAGTGCTGGGATTACAGGCGTGCGCCACCATGCCTGGCCTCATGGCTAATGTTTTAGTAAAACTTCACTTAATATAATGCCTGTGAAGTATGTTGCTGTTCTATGAAAGCCATCTGATCATTATATGTGAGAAGTTTTATTTATAATTCACAAGAAAGCTGATCTCCAATTTTAAATGTGGGCAAACAAAGCATTTTCTTAACAAATTTTAAAGCAATTTTTATTTTAAATGCCTTAATAATTCATTAGATTTTATCTGAGTCTTATAAAAATAATTTCTAGAAAATTCTTGACATGTAGTTGGCTTTTTATGGTTTTGTCTTATTCTGCCACAGATTAGGAATACTTTTCTTTTTTAAAAAAATCTCTCCTGGGCTGGGGATTTAGCTCAGTGGTTGTGCTGCTGCCTTGTAAGTGCAAGGACCCAAGTTCAATCCCCGGTACCCCCCACCAAAAAAAATCTCTCCTAATAAAGCAGCAGAACATCCGTGTTTAGGAACCACAGGAGACAACTGATGCAGACAGATGAAAACTGTCTTAATGTGCACAGAACAACTTCACAGCCTCCCCAGCTAGCCTGGCTCTGTCTCTGCACACTCCCGACCATGCGCCTCTCTACCACACCTGTACTTTTTTTCATGTTAAGCAGTATCACTCTCTCCCTGTCCTAGATTAACTTTCTAAAGTTGAGGTGTAGTCTTTTTCCTTTTAAGCTATGCAGTAATTGAGATGTTCGGATGCCAGTATGTACTATTTCTGTTTCTCACATTTTTGCCCTGTGCAGTCACCTAACCCTTCCACCACAGCAATAAATCAGGTGAAAATAGCTCTGTGTTCAGTTGAATTTTCCAGGCACAAATTTAGTTTCGTCAATTCGTTTATACATTGGGAAAGATTGGTTTATTAACTGTTCAGTGTAACTGCACTTGTTTTACCAAGCTGGAAACTTGGAACTTTTTAATTCTAATTATCATTACCTGGATATCAGATTATTTTTTCATGTGATGTATATGTAGTGTCTCATGACTGGAGTTTGGTTTGTTACATAGTATCTGTACTCCCTGCGTTTTCAAGCACTATTTTGAAAACAGATAATGTATTTCTCCAAACAATAGTTTTTAGCAGATAAAACAACCGCAGCCCAGGGCCGGGGATTTAGCTCAGTGGTGCCACTGTCTGCCTCAAAAAGCTCAAAGTCCCAAATTCAATTCCCGAAACAAAAACAAAAACCCAAAATCACAATCCTCAGTAAAACACAATACTCCTCAAGATGGCTAAAAACCAGATACAAACTAACATTTCTGGGCAGAAGGAACACAGAATGGGACGTTATGGAGAAAAGATAAGACCACAAAGTACAGCACAATCTTCCCCGCCTGAGTTACCTGATAACACCCATACATCTGCTTTGACCCAAACTACAAATATTTGCTCCAACCCCTACAGTGATAGATATCTTCCCAACCCCCTATTAAACTCTCTGCCTTTTCTTTGTTTGCCACTGACAGCTTTGTTGCCCTCAGTTGCCTACACCCAAGTGAATAAAGCTTGTGCCTTGTTGCCTTCTACTAGCCTGCTCAGGCCGGGCGTGGTGGCACAACCCTGTAATCCCAGCACTCGGGAGGCTGAGGCAGGAGGATCGCTGTGAGCTCGAGACCAGCCTGGGCTACACGGTGAGCTCCAGGTCAGTCTCATACATAAGTGAGACCCTGTCCCAAAAAACAAAAAATCAAAAACAAAAACAAAAAAGAAATACCTGCTTGGGTGGTCTCATTCCTCTGCCATTTGCTGCTGGAAACATGTAAATATGACAGAAAATTTAAAAAGAAGACAGAAACTGTATTTATGTGTTGTTGTTGTTTTGTTTTGTTTTTTGAAACAGTGTCTCACTGCATAATTCAGGCTGGCCTTGAACTCACTGTGTAGCCCAGGCTAGCTTCAATGCAACGTGATTCAGCAGCTCAGCTTCCCTAATGCTGGGATTATAGGTGTTTACAACCACACCGGGCTGAAAATGAAACTGTTAAAAGGCAATCTACAAACAATGTAACCCATTTATTTCTCTGCCAGGGGAAAAGGGGAATTAAAGGAGGTTGGAGAGAGCTGGGCATGTAGCTCAGTGGTACCGCGCTTGCCTCGCAAGCACAAGGTCCTGAGTTTGATTCCCCATACCCCCCCCACACACAAAAGGAGGTTGGAGAGAAGATGTGGGTAAGAGGAAGGGATTATAGAAAGAAACAAATTCTATTATGCACATGTACCCCCCAATGATAGTAAACTGCACGTATTGCAAACAAACATGTACTAAAAAAATATTCACTAGGGGTGCTTGTGGCTCTAACTCCTGGAGTACAATGATACAGGTCTACTCTATCCCTTTCGAATCATATATTATATAATCATAAAACCTGGGGCAGGGTCTTGCTGCATAGTTCAGGCTGGCCTTGAACTTGTGACAACCCTCCTGCCTCTGCCTCCCAAGTGTTAGGATTATAAGCATGTGCCACCATACCAGCATATATGTATATATATATATAGTTCTGTTACATTAAGATTAGAGACAAGTTCTGTTATGCAATGACTCCAAGACAAGGTTTCTGGCGTTTCTGTTGTTGCTGCTTTGAGATGGGGTCTCACTATGCAGTCCAGGCTGGCCTTGAACTCATTGTGTAGCCCAGGCTGACCTCAAACTTGCAGACATCTTCCTGACTCAGTGTCCCAAGTGCTGGGATTACAAGCGTGCATCACCATGCTCAGCTAAAAAAAAAGTTTTTATATTTTATTTTCACATTAAAAATCAGTTGGACTTGCTTCAGCCTCAATGTATTTATGTAAAATTAAATGAATGCTAGCAGTAAGCTGCACTTTTTTCTACACAGGAAGTAAAGCAAAATGAAATAAAATCAAGACTATTAACAAGTTGGTGGCATGGCCAACATTGAAAGGTGCTATTACAAGTGATTTCATTTTTTTTTTTTTTTTAGAGACAGCATCTCAGGCTGACCTCAAACTCATGGTAGTGGGATTACACGTGTGTGCCACCACACCTGGCAGTGTTCCTTTTATTTGTTTAAACTGGGTTTCACTACGTCACTCAGGCTGAATTCCTAAGCTCAAGCAAGCTTCCCATGTCAGCATCATCGGTAACAGGCACGCACCACAATGCCCAGCTCCAAGCACCTTCAAAACACTAGGCACATCTACAATTGTGTATCTATAAAGACAAAAAGAACAGCCAAAAAAGGAAAAAGCAGGTTCAACAGTTTTCCACTGGTCACACTATTGTATTTTTATATGGGAAACAGCGAATGAGCCCACTCACCTTCCCAAGGCTCCCTGAGGGCAGCTTGCGCACCCCTGGTGCTCAGCGTGTGCTTTGGTTTTGCCCCCTTCTCCTCCGCTGGCTCTTTGTTCTAAAATAATAACCATAAAAACAATCATCACCAACATCATTCAGGTCACAAACCTTTGTGGACCACCTACCATGTGCTTAAGATAAAGGTATTTCGGTTATTAGGCATCTCGTCACAGTACTATTAGAAGATAAAAACTATCTAAATATTATCATTTAGAGGCAAAGTCACCAAGGCCTCCCCAAGGTTATAAAACTTAAAAGAAGAGCCCAGTTTCAAATCCAGAACTCAAGTCCTTTCCAGTCCTTCTATTTATTGCTGGTGATCTGCGGGCCCAGCCCCAAACAGGGGTTCTGACTTCTGCTTAGCAGGGAAAGGGTATTACACTGAGGACTCAAGGCTGCCTGGCAGCCTCGTGGCAGACCCCAAGGTCACCCTTTTCCAGGACGCTGTGAGGCCAAGAACACAAACACTCCATCTCACCTTGCTTAGCCTCACCACTTGGTCTAACTCCGTAAGCTCTCCGTACCTCATGTTCACATCTGCACACTGGGATCTATGAACTGCTCAACAGAGCTGATGATTTTGTCCTGCCTGAAGCCAAATGACAGCAGTGTCAAATGCATCCACTGTGTAAAGGTGGCAGGTACGGCCCAGGGGACCTTTCAGCAGCTTTTCCTTAAATCTGAGCCTGGGCAAGCATACCTGGGCTTTCAGGCCTGAAATAGCCCACAGGGAGCTCTCAAGCAAATATCCTACACCCTCTTACCTCTTGCTGGGCTCCAGAGCTTTTAGAGGCTTCAAGGTTCTGACTGGTTCTAATTCGACTTCTGACTCCCAGGCCAGGTCACAGCAGAAGCTCCACTCACCCAGCACTCCCTACCATAAGGGCTTTTCTCCTGCCTTGGCTACAGTGGTTCTTAACTGCGAGTCCTGTTCTTGAACAGCTCAGGCTTGTGTAGCATTTAAAAAATGTTAGTTTTCAACATTTAATATCTGTATATTTAGATTAAACTTTTAGGATCCTTTCAGGATAGATAGAATTTGTGTGTGTGTGTGTGTGTGTGTGTGTGTGTATTTTTCTCCTCAGTGTTGGGGTGAAACCCAGGGCCTTGTGCATGCTAGACAAGTGCTCTACTACTGAGCTGGATCCCCAGCCCACCTGTTCTATATTTTGATCGTGGTGGTAGTTAGTTGGGTGTACACATTCGTTGAACTGTATGCTTCAAATGTACATAGTTTGTGTGTGTTTGCAGTTTATTGTATATAAATCATACTTAATATTATTTTATTCTTATGCTTGAATAAAAATAATTAGAAAAAAATTCTAGCTTCCTTACTTCTCTTTAAAAAACCAATAGATCTGGCAACAGCAGGCCAGGGATTTAGCTCAGTGGCACTGTGCTGGCCTTGCAAACATAAGGTCCTGAGTTCAATTCCCCTTACTGAAAAAAACACACAAAAAACCCCAAACCAACAAGCCAACCAACCAACCAACAAACAACAACAACAGCAAAAAAAAAAGATCTGGCAACTATCTATGCTCAGATAGCAAAAATCAGCTAGGGCAGTTGCTGAGTTGCCATAGACGTCACTGTTGCCCAGTGTCTCCTTGCTTCACGGGTTGAGGGTTGGGTCTGCTGCTTTTCCTAAGCTTCAGTTTCCAATTTCCTGCAGTCCTATTAGTCATGCTCACCTCTTCAGGGTTCCAGGACATTGAGTTTTGCCCTTTGAATGGTAAGGACACAACATATGGAGAACACTCAGCCCAGCACCTGGCATGTGGTAGGCACTCCATAAAAATGCTACCTGCTGCTGCTATGATTGTTAACGATGCCGTAGATGTGCCTCAGACCCTCTGCTGAGCAAAGAGCTGTCGTTTATTCTTCCGTCCTGACACTCCACAGCTGGGGAGAACAGCAGGCATTTTCACAGACCTCCTCCTATCTCACCCGACCAGTAGAAGGGACTGTCCTTGGGCAGACCTTATTGCACTCAAACTGAGCTCTCCCTCCCTCTGCTTCAGTGCACACAAGCCTAAACACAGACACAGACACAGAGACACACACACACACACACAGGCACATGTGCACACACACACACACACACACACATATACAGAGTCAGGCCTCTGTTTTCAGGACTCGACTTTCAGGACTCAACTACCTCATCCGTGTGTGCAGAAGTAGAAGAGGCCTTGAACACCACTCCTGGGGGTTGACGGTTCTGAACAGCTTGATCATGATTCTAGCCCACCTCTGGCTTGAACCTGAATTTCTGAGAGAACCCCTGGATTCTAGAAATAATCTAATTCATTGTTGCAACCAAAGTACTGCTGGGCCATCTCAAAAGAACCAAACATGACCTTTACAAAGTCCTGCCATAATTTTCAAATTTAACAGCCAGGCCTAGGATTTAACTCAATCCCACAGTGCCCCTGTTCTCTTAGAAGACCCAAAGACGGTCTCTAGATTGCCTCCGTAACTCAGTTTTCAGTACTGACAATGTGTTAAATAGCTGTGCTTGGGTCTTAGTTCACTGTCTGTCCTCTGACCACTTCCTTCGAGACCAGCCTGTGATCTTGTATCACAGTAGGCCAATGAGGAGCTGACACCCAGTTCCGAGAATGGACTCACACTTGTAGATAGTTATCTATATGTGTATGAAACCCAAGGAGCAGGGAGTGACCCAAGAAGGGCCGAGTGGAGCAATGCAGACAAGAAACGTAGCAAGAGAGGAAGCAGTTGTGTGACTTCCCCCATCCAGAAATGCCAAAATATTTGCAGCACGACAGCTAACCTTGCTAATATATAAAGAGCTCTTATAAATCTATAAGAACAAGGCAGAAAAAAAAGAAAAGAAGGACATGAACAAAAATACAATGTTTTAAACCTATGAATGATGTTCCATCTTTAAACAAAAGAAACATAAATTACATAAAAGAAATAAATTAAAACTATAGATATATCATTCTACTTGTTTTGGTTATGTTTGAACATTTCCTTAGCAAAAAGCTTTAAAAATTTTTTATGAATTGAGAAGAAGAGTTAGTGGGCCGGGGATTTAGCTCAGTGGTTCTGGTGCCTGCCTCGCAAGCGCAAGGACCCGAGTTCAATCCCTAGTATGAAAAATACAAACAAATAAAATTAACTACAAAACAAGAGTTTGCTTTCAAGAGACATATATAACCAACTGCCTTGTTTTGATTTGATTCAAATAAACTATAAAAATGGTATAGAGCATAAGATATGTGAATAGCAACTTTGGTAATAGAAATTATCAACTTTTACTGTTTAGATATAATAATAATGTGTGCTTAGCTTTTTAAAAAGAGCCCTTATCTTTTAGATAGAAACTCTGAAATGTGGGCCGGGGATTTAGCTCAGTGGTTCCAGTCACAAGCACAAGGACCCAAGTTCAATCCCTGGTACCAAAAAAAGGAAAATAAATTCAGAAATGTTTATGAAAGACGTAATCCAAATGTCTTAGATTTACCTCAAAATAATCTAGCTAGGGCAAAATGGGTGGGGAACGGATGACATGAACAGAGTCTTCACCTGAGAGATAGTTCACAGAATTCGCTACACACTGGGCCTTCTGTACCCGTGGGCGCTGTATCTGAATGCAATCAACTTCAGATGTAACACTTACGGGGGGAAGGCTGCACCTGTACTGAACATATACAGACCTTTTCTTCTCATTAGTTGGAAGTATGTAGTACAACAGCTATTTATATAGCAATGACATGGCATTGGCCAGTATAAGTAATCAAGAGACGATTTCTGGATGGGGAAGTATATAAGAGGCGGTGCATAAATAATATGCAAATACTATGACATTTCATCTGAGAGACTTGAACATAAGTGGATTTTGGTATCAAATGGGATCTAATCTCCCGTGGGTAACAAGTAATGAGTGTACTAATCTGTTTTTATAAATGTTTGAAGTTTTTCATATTAAAATACATGCACAATACGATCTTGTTTTACACTTACCAGTCAGGAAAAGAATTTTAAAAATTGGATAAAATGCTTTATTAGCCGCAGAGGAGGCGGTAAGCATTCCCATATGTTATGGTTAGAAGGCTAGGTTGGAATAAGTTTGCATTTGGCTTTAATCAATACAAGTTGACCCTTTGGTTAGTATTTCCCCTCCTAGGTGTGTATCATATAGATAAACTCATACTGTGTTCAAAGACATATATCTAGATATTCACTGCATCATTATTTATAGACGCTAAAGGTGAGAAACAGTATAAACAGTGATATGTGACTGGCTAGCAATTTAAGACACATTACCCAGGATGTTGTACTCTGTAACTTTAAGAACTAAGAACAGGAACTTTTCTAAGTATAAATATGTAGCCATGCCCAAAATACAGTAAATAATTTTTTTTTTAAATCAAGCATTGGGCATGGTGGTGCACGCCTGTAATCCCAGCACTCAGGAGGCTGAGGCAGGAGGATCACTGTGAGTTTGAGACCAACCTGGGCTACATAGTGAGCTCCAGGTGAGTCTCAACTACATAGTGAGACCCTGTCTCAAACCCCCCACACCCCCCAAAAAAAAATCAAGGTAAGCACATGGTGAGTAATATTTGGGTAAAACCAAAACAAAATACTGAGGGTAATGTTTATAGCAAAGTGCTTGTAGATGCATAGTCTAAATCTGAAAGAATTCAGAAAAATCTGGTACCTATAATTGCTTGTGGGCATAAGGGACGTTGTCCTAGGGACAGAGGGTGGAAAAGGAATTTCATTCTATGTGAGTGTTTTTCCCAGGTTTTGTTTTGTTTGAGGAAACTGAACCCATGGCATTCTGCATCATGAGTATTTTTTTTTCTTCTGCATATTAATTTGATTTTCTTCTTAAAGCCATGAATTGGATTCATGATGGATTTTCTTTATTGAAGCTAAGGTTGGTTATCAGTAGCGGGAGCCACTGCAGAAGTCACGTCTCCCAGCCTGGCAGACAGGTCGGGTAGGGGCTGCTGCAGGGCAGGGAGGGAGGGGGAGACTGAGGGCTATGCAGGTGAGCTCTGGGCTGCTGGGCCGGAGAGGCCCCTCCCATCTTCCTGTGACAGCCTCAGTAGGTGACACAGTCAGCGCAAACTGAACCCCTTAAGACCCCAGCTCATCCCCTGCCAGAGGCTGGTCAGTGACTGCAGAGCTCTCACATGGTTGCTAAGGGGCTGACCCTCAGCTGTCCCCAAACAGGGTGTTTCTGCTACACACTTCACCCTCATCTTTCCCCTCCCAGTAGGTTTGATTACACAACCTTTGGGAACAGCCACTGCCAGAAATGCCACCCTCCACCCTCGGGCTCTGGCTCCTGCCTCTGTTGCCCCCCAGGGGTCACTGTCAACACTCATCTCCCCACAGGCAGCTGCTCACTCCGCCCACTGCAGGACAAAGCACAAGGCTGGGGACAGGAAGGCGGGTTGTGTTTCTGCTCTGGGCTCTGTCAGGGGAAACTGACCATTCCCCACCTGTCGTTCTCCAGCCCAGGTGTGAAAGGGCCGGCAGGATCTCTGAGGGGAAGAGAAGCCCCAGAGGTGTTAAAGAAGCTTAACCACCATTGTTCCCTCCATCTTGGCTGCCTGGAGCTGCCCGAGGCCCCACAGTCCTGGTGGACACACGGCAGTTCCTTTCCCTGGGAGTGCACCAGTCAGTGGGCCGTCTGGAAATCCACCTGTGAGCTCCAAGGTTCAATCTCTCTTTCTCCTTCAGCAGGACATAAAGGAGCACAGCAAGGGGAAAGCACACCTCCAGCTCTCCTAAGACTACCTGGCTAGAACCTCCAGTCCCCACCCCAGGCCCTGAGCCTCCCCTGTAGACAGGGCAGGGAAAACAGAACCAACCTCCTCAGGGCCATCAGCCAGGCTGCCTTTCCTCCCTTGCATGATGAAATCCACCAACTTGGAGTTCTGGAAAGCAGTGCCCACGAGAGCGATGGCCCTGTCCACAGCCACCACCATCCTGAAGAGGGATTCAAGCCTGGCACTGTGCTGGGCACCATCCTGCTTCACAGCTCTCACCAGCTCCAGGACCTCAGCCTGAGCGTCAGCTGGAGAAGCACAGTCAGCTCCCGCTAGGTCCAGCCCTTGGGAGGCCTCCAGCCGCTGCAGGCCTTGCTCCAGGTGGCCCATGCCCAGGCACACACAGTGCAGTTTCTCTGCGACATCTTCCTGGAAATGCAAGAGTTTGTCCACCTTCTCATTCAGCACATTAAGCTTGTTGTCCATGGCGGTGAGACAGGCCTTGCCCAACACCGGCAGACCCCGGGAGCCCAGACTCTCCTTGGAGGCTCCTGACATGGTGACTCAGGCTTGAGAAGGGATAGGGCAAGGAAACAGAAGAGCCACAGATCCGTGGCTTTCACTTAGGTAGCGTCTGCAAGACCATTGTCCTCCGTAGCTAACAGTCTCACCCTGCAGCTCCAACCTACACTGACCACTGAGGCCGTGTGGGGAGCTTGGAGGGCTGGGTCCTCTCTGTGCTTTTGCCTTTCTTATCTCCCACTCAGCAACGGGCTGTGAGTGACAGGCTCAGTTTGGCCAGAGCCCTTCTCCTTGGGGCCCTTTTGACATCATGGCAGTGTAGAACATTCCTTGCTGAGAGGCTGCTGATGGGCAAATATTTTAAGAATTTGCCCAGGTTAGGCAGGGGTTCATGCAGCTGAAGCTAAAGGCTACGAGAAAAGTGCCCTGCTGGTAAAACATCTATGAGCCGGACTCCACAGTGAGGCGTCAGCGATCTCAGGCACTGAGATGAAGTCTCACCTATCAAATATGCATCTAATTCATAATAGAGAGCAAGTTAGAAATGGAAAGAAATAGGAAGACATTCAACCAACATCTTTTGCCGCGGTGAAATATTTGATGCTTCTGCAAATTAAAAAGTGTTTTGCCAATGCTTGAAACATGAGTTTCGACTGCCTGTTGGGTGAGTCTGCAGCCCCTCCCCAACAGGGCCCTCAGTCACCAGTCACTTGTAACTTGAAATAGAACTGAGGAACAACAGCCGAGGCTACTTGCCAACTCCACCCCACAGGTCATGTTCCCTGCAAAGCCATAGGGGGACACTTACCAGTGACCCTGTGATCCCCCAATAATGACTATGCAGGTATCAAGACCCAGTTTCTAAACTGATACAGACTCACAGGGCCCTGAAGGGCAAGGAGGCTCATTTTTCCTGAGCTTTCTAAATGTTTTAGCCTCAGAAATCCCTGTTTTGAATGAAAGTTTTATAGAAGCATCAGTAATAAACTAGAGAAGCCCAGATGCTCAGGTCATCACTGAGGTGGGACCCAAGGGGCCCACTTGAGTCCCAGCAACACCAAAGTGCAGTCTGACTTATTCTTTTCACCCAACCCCTCATCAGGAAAAATCAGGACACAGAAAGAAAGGTGCCCAAGGTCACCCAGGCACAAGGTCTCCTGAGGATGGTTTCACCATGAACTGTGAGGTCTGGGGCTGGGGTGAGGGGTGTGTCCTCCCCAGAATCCCCCTTCTGAGGAAAAGTAATTATGATACACTCTGACTGGAAATTGGACATCCCAAAGTGCCACTCAATGGCTTTGCCACTTTAAGTCACAAGTAACCTACCAATACAATGTGCCTGCTGCTCAGGCACAGAATGACCTAAACTCCTCTCCCTCCATCCCCCATTCTGTACTGGGATAGCTGCATCTAAGCAGCCCACATGAAGCCATTCCATTTCGGGGCGCCGGGTGGCCCTGGTGGAATGACCTAGGGCAGTGGTAGAGAACTTGTGGCACCCATACCACAGGGGCTCCCAGACCCTCGCTGTTGGCACACAAGCCAAGTCACCCTAGCAGCTGAGCACTGGATAACAGTTGTTTTTGCTAAACCAAAACATTAAGATTCAGCTTTAACTGCAGTGAGGCACTTTGTGGTAAATAAGTGGGTTTTGAGTTGCAGTTTGGGCTCTCGGTCTCTAAAATGTTTGCCATCACTGACCTAGGTCATGCTCAAAATAACACTGGTCTGTTTTAGCCACTGTGATTATTTAAACACACACACACACACACACACGCACGCACGCAAACACGGTGGCACATACAGGCAATCCCAGCAATCTGGTAGCCCGGCCAGGAGGGCTGGCAGGAGATCCCAAGTTCTCTTGGCGGGAGGATCCCAAGCTCAAGCGCAGCCTTAGAGTTTTAGCAACTTAGTAAGACTTTGTCTCAAAAAAAGACTTTTTAAAAAAAAAAAAAAAAAAAAAAAAAAAAAAGGGCTGGCAACGTAGCTCAGTGCAAATGGTCTGGGTTTAATCCCCAGTACTGTGAAAAGAAGGAAGGGAGGGAGGGAGGGGGGAGTGAGGGAAAGAAAGAGTCCTGAGAAAAAGAAATCAGACTGTTCAGAAGCCTTTTAATTTGATCTGATCCCATTTGTTGATTCTCAGTACTATTTCCTGCGCCACTGGGGCTCTGTTTAGAAAGTCCCGTATGTCTTCAAGAGTTTTACTTATTTTATCTTCCAGCAGATTGTTTCTAACATTTAGATCTTTGATTCATTTTTAATACATGGTGAGATATAGGAGTCTAGACTCAAAATCTGCATGTAGATATTTTCCCAGCACCATTTATTAAAGAAGATATCTTTCCTCCAGTGTATGCTTTTAGCCCCTTTGTCAAAGATCAAAACAGCTAAATGTGCCTGGGGTTGTTTCTGTGTCCTCTATTGACCCACATGTCCATCTGTTTCCGTGCCATGCTGTTTTTAATCACAGTAACTTTGTAACATAACTTCAAATCTGGCAAGTCCCTCCAGAAAAAATGGCTATCATCAAGAAATCAAATAAAAGCCGGGCGTGGTAGCACATGCCTATAATCCCAGCACTCTGGGAGGCTGAGGCAGGAGAATCACTGTGAGTTCGAGACCAACCTCGGCTACACAGTGAGTTCCAGGTCAGTCTCAACCACATAGTGAAGACCCTGTCTCAAAAAAACCAAACCAAACCAAACAAAGAAATCAAATAACAATAATAAATGCGGACAACAAGGCTGCAAGGAAAAGGGAACCCTTCTACCTTGTTGGTATGAATGTAAACTAGTACAACTGCAATGGAAATCAGTAAAACTGATTTTTTTATTTGCTCAAAAAACTAAAACTGTCAACTTACACTGTAAACTGCCATCATACTATAATGATACATGTATGCATGTTTATAGCAGCATAGTTCATAATAACCAAATCCTGGTATGATGACTTTAACTCTTTCAGGAAGACAGCAGGGGAAATAGCTGGCTCAAATGGAATTTTTAGTTTGCGTTTTTTGGAGTAATGTGGAATCTCAAGTGCTGTTTAATTTGCCTTTTTCTAATGGCCAGCAATATTGAACATTTCTTCATGTACTCACCGGCTATTTGTACTTTTTCTTTGAGAAATGTCTGATCGTTTTAGTTGCCTATCTTTTGATTGGGTCTTCCCAAAATAGTTAAAAGCATCATACCACGGTGTTACCCATGTTTATAGTGCACAATTAGTACTAAGGAAACTTTGGAAACAGCCTATATGCCCACGAACAGATGAATGGATACATAAAATGCAGCATTTATATACAGTGGAGTACTTTACTGTGAAGAAGGATAAACTTGAGGCATCTGTAGGTACACGGGTTTAGCCTCGAGACCGTAATGTTACGCGAAATCAGTCAGACACGTACGTTTAATTACTGTTTAAATACTCTCATATGAGAAAACCAAAATCTAAAAAACGGGTACAATAAAACAGGAAGTAGGGAAATCCTTTTTAAACGGGAAAGGAAATAAGATGGAGGGAGGAGGAAGAAGACGAGGAAAGGCAAGGAAGAAAGGAGGGAAGGGAAATGGGATGAAACAAGGGTTGAGAGACAAAAATGGAAGCGGAGCTTTTGCAAAGGAGAAGAGAATGCAGAGGTGGAAGGCTCGGGGAGGGACGCAGGGGAAGGGGATGGAAAGAACTAAGATGCGACATGCACTGCTTCCACATGGTACGTGGAACGACACACCGCAAACATGTGCGAACACAAATGGAGGGAACACTGGGCCGGCGATGTAGCTCAGTGGTGCTGCCACCTGCCTCACAAGTCAAGGTCCTGAGTTCCATCCCCGGTATCACAAGTAAATAAAAAATAATTTAAAAATTAGGGAACACTCTACCGCAGCTCATCTTGGGCAGGACCTATCTGCTGGACAGAAGGTACCACATCTGAAGAGGACCACCCTTTCCCCCACAATAATGCACACTTAGTACTTCCCTGTGGAACCAGGATTCCCTGACCCAAACTTTGGGAAATGGCTGCCTAGAGAAATTTCTGCAAATCCAAAGCTCAGCCCAGGGTCTCTGTCTCAGTTGATGCCAATGATGTTTGTGGAATGAAGTTCTCATCAGTCTACAGAGACAGAACTCTCCAGGACAGAGTTCCTACCAACACAGGCTGATTCACTACTATCACTGCTATGGAGATCAACCAGCAAACATGGGTTACCAAAGCTCTGGAAAAATCTTGAAAGTCCAAATGAAATGGGCAAATGCCCCGTACATAGATCTGTCTCTAAAGCTAGTCATTTAAATTACAATAGGATTTGCTTCAAGTCTCCTTGAAGCAGCAAGTGTATAAGGAAGTTCATTCACTAGCAATGGGACCTCTGCAGCCATCCACTAGTCTAGAGTCACCTCAAACCTCCCAGAGGACAGGCCAGGGCCCCTTTGGCCTGCCTGCCTTGGACAAACCAACCTGTGGGCAATTCCCATGGCCGCTGTTTGGTACTGAAGGGATGAACTGAGGGGCAGCACCAGGTGGAGCTGACAGGGGAGGGGGGAGTTCTCTGGAGGGGAGGCAGTAGCTTGGCTTTCCCAGGGCAATCAAGAGAAGTACAGGACAGGAAACCCTGACGAGTCCCAGAATGTACTCTAAGGCTCTCTGTGATGCCCGTCTGGAAGACACTCAAAGAAGTCCTTAAAGCTTCTTTGATGAAAAGGCATAACCAAGAAAACCAGCTTTGAATCCCTTTTGCTCCTCAGCCTTCAGGAGAAATAAGCTTGTGCACACGAGTTTCCTGAGGGCTGATTTGTGTCTTCTCCCCAACTCTCGCTGATACACAGGGCACAGCAAGTATTGGGCAATGCTTCTTGGGCAATGGCGCTTGTTCAGAAGATAAAAGGGGACCCTCAATCCCATAAAAAGGCAAGAGAAGAGGCAGCTGCAAGAGACTGACATGGAGCATCAACTCCAGTAACACTGTTTCCTTCTTGGACAGCCGTTCCACTCTTGGAAAAAAATAGGCTGACCTCTCTGCTTGCCCTAGGGTGGACTTAGCTTGTCATGAACCTCGAACTTCTTCCTTGGTCTTCTGGCTACCTAACAATCTTGGGTTTCATGGAATGAGAGAGATTGCGACATCTTCACTCTAAAGTGATATCAAGACTCTGACCCAAGCTGAAAGACTGACCAC